CTTCTTGCGGGTTCCCCGTAATCACCGCCTTAATGGAGACGCCTTCCATTACGCGCCTCACGTTCTCCATAGCCACTTCTAGTGGTGGCTCTTCCAGGCGCTTCCTGGCCCCTCTTACCTTGGGCCTAAGGACCGGGAACTCTTCTTCCTCCGGCGCCGTGTTGTTGGCCTCCCTGGATGTCCCCTGTATTGGGGGGTCTACCGTCATCTCGTCCCCAATTTCTATCTCTTCTGGGTAGGTCTTATCTGTCTTACGTGAGCGTGATCGGCCTTCCCTCTTCTTCTCCTGCGTTTGCAGTTTTAGAGTGAGCTCAGAGACTTTGTTCTCGAGGGACTTAATTTTTTCCCTGAGCTCGTCTATCTTGGCCTTGTCTCTTCTGGCCTCCGGCGTTGTGGCCTTTGAGGAGAGTGCAACTGTCGCAGCTCTCAGCCCGTTCGTACTCAATTTGAGCTGTTTCACAAACGTTCCTTTGAGGTTCTTCGAACCTCCTGCGACTTTATCCACGATGTTGATGAAGTTCAACATATCTGCCCCAATCTGTTCGACATCTCCTCCATTTGCCATACTAGTTCTCTCTCCGGCGTTATGTCACGGGGGAGGACTTTGGGGTCCAATATTCTCTTCAGGAGTTTTTTCTCCTCGAGGAGTTTCCTTATTTCTTTCTTATGTTCCTCCTTCTTGTGCTTGAGCATCCCCTCGCCGGTCGTGGGGATCTGCCCCTTTTACGTTTCCTCGGAATCACTTCTTCGTCGTCGCTGGAGCTGACGCTCATCCGCGCAGACTCAGAGTCTTTATCCGGGTTCACCCCCTCAGTGTCCGAGCCGTCGATCGACACTACCGGCGATCTTTGCCGCCTGGGTCTCGTCTTGACCTCCTCGGCCTTCAAGCCAGCCTTGTGTGAGGCCGGACCCGGCTTATACGTCCTGTTGTTCGCGGCCTGGTGGCCGTCTCCCACTCTTTGTCCCATGGCTACGTAAACGTCGCGGACAATCTTCCGGGCATCGGGCTGGTCGTCGCCCTTGGCCCTCCCGCCACCTCCTCCCACCTTCTTCGCGCTCACACATTCACACTCACTCATGCATACTTTATTCATACAGGGTTTGTTTAAGTTACTCATCTTAGTTTAATTCCCTCTCCACGCACGGCTCCTCCGACCGGGTGTACCCTCACCGAACCCCGACCGACTGCTAAACATGACCACAGCCGGCCGAGGTCCGGGCGCCGAGTCCTCCCGGGGAGTCGGAATATACCACGGGGTGGGGGGTATTCCGCACCCCACCGCTGGGTTCCAGCCCCTTACTCACTACCCGTGACGGGCGGACCGCGCCACGGGGGCTTTCAGGGGTTCCGCGCCTCCGACCTCGCGGACACCGTACGTGTGCCAGTCACGGCGGGGAGGCCCCCTGGACGGTTTGGGTGTCAGCGAGAGGCCCGCTCACCTCCACCTTACCCGCCAGGGCGACCAGCATGCACGCGCCTACCCGTCGGTACCGGTATGGGACCCACCCTATCTAACGGGCGGGGG